CAGTCTAGCAGCAGCATTCATTACAGACTGTAGTGGTGCAGTACGGCTTTTGGGAAGACCAAGCAGGAGAGCTTTACAATAATCCATGCGTGAAATTATTAGAGCATGGACAAGCTCCTTGGTAGTATCTGGTGCAAGAAAGGGGCGGATGCGGGCTATGTTTTTAAGATGGAATCTACAGGATTTGGCAACATGCTGGATGTGAGGCTCAAAGGTGAGACCAGAGTCAAGTATGACGCCAAGACAGCGCGATTGCAAGGATGGGCTGATGTTGGTACCACAAACTTGAAGGGAGAGCGAAAGAGGAGGATCAGTATTAGGAGGAGGAAAGACAAGGAGCTCAGTTTTTGAGAGATTGAGTTTCAGAGAGCGGGAGGACATCCAGTCAGAGATGGAAGAAAGGCAAGCAGTGACACGTTGCAGGACAGCAGGGGAGAGGTCCGGGGAGGAGAGATATAGCTGGGTGTCATCAGCGTACAGGTGGTAGTGGAAACCAAATGAGGTAATAAGTTTGCCAAGAGAGGCAGTATAAACAGAAAATAGAAGGGGACCAAGGACGGAGCCTTGGGGGACTCCAACCGAGACAGGGCGAGGGGAGGAGGTATCATTAGAAAAAGAGACACTGAATGAGCGTTGGGAGAGATAAGAGGAAAACCACGAGAGGACAGAGTCACAGAGACCAAGCGATTGCAGAGTTTGAAGAAGGAGAGCATGATCAACGGTGTCAAATGCCGCCGAGAGGTCAAGAAGAATTAGTATGGAGTAGTGGCCTTTGGATTTAGCTGCGATTAGGTCATTAGTAACTTTGATAAGGGCAGTCTCTGTAGAGTGGAGAGGGCGGAAGCCAGATTGAAGGGGGTCAAGGAGAGAGTTGGAATTGAGGAAATGAGACACACGGGTAAAGATGAGTCTTTCCAGAAGCTTTGAGGAAAAGGGAGCAGGGATATGGGACGGTAGTTAGAGGGGGTGGATGGGTCAAGGGATGGTTTTTTTAGTATAGGTACTAAAGTGGCATGTTTAAGGTCAGCAGGGACGATGCCAGAAGAGAGCGAGCAGTTGAAGATGTGTGTTAGAGAAGGCACGAGACAAGTGGAGAGAGATCTGATAAGGTGAGACGGGACAGGATCGAGCGGGCATGTGGTGGGGCGGGAGGAGCAAAGAAGAGCAGCCACCTCTTGGTCAGTGGCTGGGGAGAATGTCTGAAGGGTAGGAAAGGCATGATCAATGTGTGATTGAGAAACAGAAAGGCAAGGAGGGGAGAATTCTTGCCTTAGCTGTTCAATTTTGCCAGTGAAGTAACATGCAAAGTTATCAGCAGTAAGGTTGGTTTTGGGGGTGGCCACAGCGGGGCGAAGAAGAGAATTAAAGGTGTCAAAGAGACGCCTGGGGTTGTGGGAACATGAACTAATGAGAGAGGAAAAATAGGACTGTTTGGCAAGGGCAAGGGCTGCACTGTATGAACACAGTATGAATCTATAATGGAGAAAGTCTGACTGAGTGCGAGACTTCCTCCAGGAGCGTTCAGCACACCGGGAGCATCTTTGCAGGTAGCGCGTTGATTTAGTATGCCACGGTTGGGGGCGGGTCCTCCTTGAGGTGCTTGTTTGGAGTGGCGCTGCAGTGTTCAAGGCAGATGTAAGAGTAGAGTTATATATGGAGATGGCCAGTGAAGGACAGGATAGGGAAGGGATGGACAGCAGTTGTGAATCAATGTCAGCTGACAACTGTTGGAGATCAAGAGAATTAAGGTCCCTCCTGAGTTGAGGCTGGTTAGGCGGAGGTTGTTGGGTGAAGGGGTAAGTGAGAGCAAACGATAAGAGGTGGTGATCAGAGAGAGGATAAGGAGTGTTGCAGATATTAGATACTGTACATGCATAAGTGAAGATTAGGTCAAGGGTATTGCCAGCTACATGGGTGGGAGAATTTGCCCACTGTGATAGCCCGAGGGAGGAAGTAATTGAAAGTAGTTTATTGGCTGCAGAGGAAGCTAAATATTTGATATTAAATGAAAGCCATGTTTCCCCTGAATAAAATGATATATAATAAGGGTGGGTGCATTTAATATGAAAGAGGTGAATTATGGTTGGACAGACATGTAGCGCAAAAGCCAGGTTTTGTTTACATTTTGTTTTGTTCACAACATGTACATTTGGCTCCGTCCTTAAGGGGTTAATTTATTTCACCTGCACCAGTCTGTTGAGCATCTAGCACAGAAATAGAGATTGTTGGCACCAGTAAAACAAATGACTATATTTTTTCTTGCTTTTTGCATTTTTTATTTTTATGATAGGTGCAAGAGCTGTACTAATCCAACACCAGCAATTGTTGTCAAAGGTTGCCTGACTTTTGAAAAGATTATGAGAAATAATCAATAATCTGTAGGGATGATGGTGATCAAACTGCTCCTTTAATCATGAAACCAGACAGTATAACCTAATCCAAATATTAATCTCTTACTCATCTCTTAACTAAAGTGAGAATTCAAAGTTAATTTAACATTTAAGGCCGTAGTAGATAAAATGATTATTCCAGTTTGGCTGTTTTCACCTTAAATTTGAAATTAATTTTCAATTCACCTTGAATTCTTACTTTAGTGATTAACCCCATTAGTTAGTTAGTTAGTTTTACATAAAATTGTAGATAGATACAGTGGTGTATTTCCCATGAGGCTAACAAGGCATTTGCCTTGGGCGGCACTTTTAGGGGGGCGACAAAATAAAAGCCGCCCCCTAAGCACCCGGGCAGATGCACTGTTAGCCTCTTTCAATCATCACTGTTTTCACCAGTCCTCAAAAACAAAATATACTGGAAACAGGATAATGTCCTTCAAAGTTTTGTAGGTCACAGTTGTTGGCTGTAGTTCTTGGGGGTGCTTTTGAGGACTGGTGAGAACATTGATTAATTGACATCCTGAGGTACCACTGGCTGACATCAACCTAATGGGAACTTAGCCCTTTGAAAAGCTTATTTGCACAAACAGATATATTTCTATTTGTGCCACTCGATTTGTGAGTGTATCTCTGTTATTTTTATCCTTATTTGTGTCACCATTGAATACTTCACTATGTATACTTGTTTTTATTCCATGCCATATTCTACCATCTGAATGATAAATATAATATCACACTTGTGATCAGGGCCGGACTGGCCCACCGGGATACCGGGAAATTTCCCGGTGGGCCGTCGGCACCTGGGGCCGGCCCTTTAAATACTGCAGCCGCCTGAGCGCTCTGTGAAGAGCGCTCAGGCGGCTGCAGCTTCTCCCCTG